GGTATGCAAGTACAAAAGAAGCTCTCTGTGGCCTTTTGTTTGACCTTTGCCCTCAACATTTGAAAACGTTTGCTTCTAATCTATTTTACCTGAAGTAACCGGATTTGGTATGCAAGTACATCTTGGGATGGCGGCATGCAGAGTACAAGAGGTATGTCTAGGTAACCTATGGTTTGACGGTTGACCTAAAGATCAACTATACTTTTTTTTCTGGAGTAACCAGATTTGGTATGCATGATCAGTACAAGAGTATGTCGCTGTGACCTATATCCTGAAATAGGCGCACAGCTCGGTTTAAATAAATCATTATCGGCGGGGAACTATGAATTGCCTTGCAATACGTTGCCCTGATTGATAAATATTGGAATGTTGGCGGGTACAAGGTGTTAATTAGCGAACAGCGTCTTTTCACCGCGACAAAATGCCATTTAAAAATGAAATAGTGTGTTTTCTTTGCTTTTCCGTCCCGTCAAAGCGACTTTCAGGGATATGCGCTGATGATTAATTCTCTTTTAAGGTTGAAGATCAACGTACGTCAGTATATCATTTTCCAAAGGAAACATAGTACGTCAGTATATACTGAGAAAAGTTAACAAGTTTCTGAACAAAATCTTTCGTTTACTCCTCTGCATTTGTAAGTATGTAGTCTAAGATAAACCATGATTTTAGGTAGATAACGCAGTCTAAGATAAGATGTAAGGTAGATAACGCAGTCTAAGATAAGCTGTAAGGTAGATAACGCTGTCTAAGATAAGCTGTAAGGTAGATAACGTTGATAAGTCGAGGCTTGCCGAGTGTTTGAGATATCCCTGTCTCACTCCCAAGGGGGTGAATGATTATTTTTCTCTTAACCTGTTTACCCTTGTATTTTACATAGACGTTACATCAATGCAAGACAATGTTGATGTGATGCGGCTGAATTGTCGACGTGACGTCATGGTATTGTTGCTATGACGTCATACAATTGTTGAGAACGTGCAAAGAACACGTGTAGCTTGTCTCAACCCTAGGGTGAGATAAGAAAATCTCACACCGGTAAAATGGTGGATATCCCTGTCCAGGGTAAGAGAAAACGTTGTCTAAGATAAGTCGTTAGTCAGGTTCCCTTCGCTATCGTGAGAGTATGACAGAACATCCCTTAACGCAATGTTGAAAGTTATTAACACTACGTGTTGATGTATCAATTAACGGAACACAGATGTTGTTTCCACTTAACGTTATAGCATTGAACATAATGATGTAAACATTGAACGTTAAATGTTGTATCGACAAAACACGCTGGTGTTACCACTGACAGCGTGTTAAACAGGTTTTACAATCGTACAGCATTGCCACCACAATAGCCGATTCTGACGTCGTCATTGTTACGTTGGATACCACTGATCCTTCCTTCACTGTTCTATTAATTCAACCAGGATTATCGAAAAATACATTATTTTAACTAAATGGTGAATAAAAATTCTTAGATCAATTTCATATGCTATGGAATCCCAATGGTAATATAAGTATTGAACTCTCAGTTTGCATTCATAGGTAATGCTGTTACCAATGAACGTAATGTAACAGGGAACCGCTGTTTGATAGCATTGTCGGAACCACCGCTAGATAAAACTGACGGAATCACCGCTAGATAAAACTGCCGAAACCAAACTAGATAAAACTGTCGGAATCACCGCTAGATAAAATTGCCGAAACCAAACTAAATAAAACTGTCGGAATCACCGCTAGATAAAACTGCCGAAACCAAACTAGATAAAACTGTCGGAATCCCCGCTAGATAAAACTGCCGAAACCAAACTAGATAAAACTGTCGGAATCCCCGCTAGATAAAACTGCCGAAACCAAACTAGATAAAACTATCGGAATCACCGCTAGATAAAACTGCCGAAACCAAACTAGATAAAACTGTCGGAATCACCGCTAGATAAAATTGCCGAAACCAAACTAAATAAAACTGTCGGAATCCCCGCTAGATAAAACTGCCGAAACCAAACTAAATAAAACTGTCGAAATCACCGCTAGATGGAACTGCCGAAACCAAACTGTATATCAAGATGGCGATTGTAACGCACGTACAGTAAGTACTCAGGTGACAAAAGTTTGACAAATGTGCATATATAGTGCTAATTGACGATGAAAAATGGTATATACCATTCATAAACTATGTGTAATGATATTCATGATTTAGTATGTGAGAATTCCTCCTATTTACTCGGCAATTGAGACGTCCTTGTCCGAAGCGAACATTCCTTTGTGTGGCTTAGTGAAATTTTACGTGCGTAAATCTATACGTGTATTTAATTCTGAGCAAGTTTGGTACGAGCTTAAAATGGACGCTTCTCAGCTCCAGACGCCTTCCCAAAAGCGAAAGTCGCCAGAAAACACAACACCAAGTCCTAGCGTCCCTACTCAACCAAGACACAGGAGAAGAAACTCGTTTAGTGACCCGACTCTAGAACCGACGCCATCTTTGAAAATGGACGTCGGCAAAGGTAAAGGGATTGACTTTAATTCACTCATCCATGCCACCGTATCTAATCCTACTTTGCCTCTGCGGTTGCACCAGTATGGTTAGATGCTATGCTCCCACATTTCAAAAGCATGATGAAAACAGTTGTGTCGGAAATGATGGAAGAAATTGTAAAACCCCTCAACAAGACCATTAGTGATCAAGCCGATCGTATAAATGACCAGTGTATCCGAATTAACAATATCACAAAGAGCAACACCAGCCTTACCAATACCTGCCATACTCTACAGGAGAAAGTGGAGTCTCTAGAGACCGGTATAGAAGAACTAGGACAATACGGTAGGCGCAACTCACTGCGTTTTCACAACGTCAAATTAACCAACTCTGAGTCCACCAACACCGACCCTAAAGTAGTAGCTATCTGCAGGAAGATGTCCCTAGATATTTCCGAAGATGACATATTTCGGCCACACGTCATCGGGAAACCCAAAGATGGGAAGTACACCAAGTCATCTGTCGATTTTGTAATTGGAAGATTAAAAACCGTGTTTATAGGTCAAAGAAATATCCCTGAATGGAAACACTGATCGAGTGTTCATCACTGAAGACCTGACGAGACATCGACAAGGCATGATGAAAGACTTGTCCGCTGCCAAATACCGAGGAGAACTGGAATCATTTTGGACAAATGATGGACGAATATTCATCAAATTCCAGGACAACCCCTCTAAAGTACTGATCGGAACCACCGATAGATATAACTGTCAAAACCACTGCTTGCTATAACTGTCAAAACCACCGCTATAAAGAACTGTCGGAAGATAGAACTGTCGGAATCACCGCCAGACAGAACTGTAAAACCACCGTTATATAGAACTGTCAAAACCACCGTTATATAGAACTGTCAAAACCACTGCTTGATATTACTGTCAAAACCACCGCTATATAGAAATATCGGAATCATCGTTAGATACAACTGTCGGAACCACCGTTATATAGAACTGTCAAAACCACCGTTATATAGAACTGTCAAAACCACCGTTATATAGAACCGTCAAAACCACCGCTAGATCGAACCGCCGGAACCACCGATATATAGAACTGTCAAAACCACCGCTTGATATTACTGTCAAAACCACCGATTTATAGAAATATCGGAATCATCGTTAGATACAACTGTCGGACCCACCGTTATATAGAACTGTCAAAACCCCCGCTAGATCGAACCGTCGGAACCCCCGATATATAGAACTGTCAAAACCACTGTTATATAGAACTGTCAAAACCACCGCTAGATCGAACCGTCGGAACCACCGATAGATATAACTGTAAAATCCACTGCTTGATATTACTGTCAAAACCACCGCTTATTATAACTGTCAAAACAAACGCTATATAGAACTGTCTGAACCACCGCTATACAGAACTGTCGGAATCACCGCCAGATAGAACTGTCGGAACCAGCGTTAGATAGAACTGTCTGACCCACTGCTTTATAGATCTGTCGGAACCATCTTTAGATAGAACTGTCTGACCCACTGCTTTATAGACCTGTCGGAACCATCGTTAGAAAGAACTGTTTGAACCACCGCTATACAGAACTGTCTGAACCACTGCTATGTAGAACTGTCGGAACCATCGCTAGATAGAACTGTCTGACCCACTGCTTTATAGACCTGTCGGAACCACTGCTTTACAGAACTGTCGGAATCACCCCCAGATAGAACTGTCTGACCCACTGCTTTATAGATCTGTCGGAACCATCTTTAGATAGAACTGTTTGAACCACCGCTATACAGAACTGTCTGAACCACCGTTATATAGAGCTGTCAAAACCACCGCTAGATCGAACTGTCGGAACCACTGTTTTATAGAACTGTCAAAACCAACGCTAGATCGAACCGTCGGAACCACCGTTATATAGAGCTGTCAAAACCACCGCTAGATCGAACCGCCGGAACCACCGATAGATATAACTGTAAAATCCACTACTTGATATTACTGTCAAAACCACCTTAATATAGAACTGTCAAAACCAACGCTAGATCGAACCGTCGGAACCACCGTTAGATAGAACTGTTTGAACCACAGCTATACAGACCTGTCGGAATAACCGCCAGATAGAACTGTGTGAACCACTGCTATATAGAACTGTCGGACCCATCGTTAGATAGAACTGTTGGAACCACCGCTATACAGAGCTGTCGGAATCACCGACAGATAGAACTGTCTGAACCACTGTTATATAGAACTGTAAAAACACCGTTATATAGAACTGTAAAAACACCGTTATATAGAACTGTCAAAACCAACGCTAGATCGAACCGCCGGAACCACCGATAGATATGACGGTAAAATCCACTGCGTGATATTACTGTCAAAACCACCCCTTATTATAACTGTCAGAACAAACGCTATATAGAACTGTCGGCACCATCGTTAGATAGCACTGTCGGAACCATCGTTAGATAGAACTGTCGGAACCACCGCTATATATCACTTGCATTTTATGTTGCATTTTAATGTACCTATTAATGCAATAATATCACTTTAAACTGCAGTTCGAAAAGAACACCCCGACCGATTATACTATAACACTGGATATAGTGGGGCATGTTAATTCAAAAAAACAAAAAAACGAGGTCCCTTCTCCTGGTACATGTGTAATGATTTCACGTGTTGGGACATCATTTAATACTTTTATCAAGAAAATGTATATGTATTTTGTCAGCATTTTCGTTGGTTTGCCTCCACTTCTGACTTAGCAACTGCAACAAATTTGCCTTTATCGCTCCTATTCCTGATGTAAACACATATTTTGTATAGGAAGAGAAAAAGTATACTACACAGAATGCACGTCACACCGTACATTAACGGGAACAACGAAATCCGAGCGAACATGCTCCTGTCAAAGGTCAAGGTCAGCAATGTCATACACAACGGGAAGTTCTGTATGCCCGTTTCCAAGGAGACTGTGATTCGCTTCGGTGCATCAAGCCGAAACATGGTGGCAACTAGGTATCCGAACAGGAACCCCACTGTAGGTAGGAGGAGGGCTCCGAGGTAGATACCCCAGGACGCTCGGTACATAAAGGGGTACATCACACTCATCAAGGTCAAGGTCAGAACCACAGCAATGGCGCCCGCGACACTTCCGCACTGAAACAGACATTTCGGTCGGATTGTTAAGGAAAATGTATAACGTTATGTTTATGATATTGTCAATAATATATCAAACAATTACGTTATGTTTATGATATTGTCAATATATATCAAACAATTACGTTATGTTTATGACATTGTCAATATATATCAAACAATTTCGTTATGTTTATGATATTGTCAATATATATCAAACAATTACGTTATGTGCCATATTGAATCAAAGAATGACCTACGCAAAAAGGAAGGGCGTAATGTGTCTCATTGTCAAAGGTTGACCTACATTAAACAACGAGGATGTTTGTCCAGATGTCAAAGACTTGCGTTATTTTAAAAACACTACCAACGTGTTCGAGTGTTAACGAGTACATAAATCCATCATATAAATATTATCGACGCTGAATATTCCTCATCCATCGCCACAGGCATTTTATTTATACTTTGTTGATGAACATAATCTGTTCGCTGTCTGGGCATCTCTGAAGAAAACCTGTTGAATGCACGCCAAGCTATAATTGACTGGTATTAAGGAGTAATTTTAATAAACAAATTTGAATATCCAATTTTCGACTTTCCCTTATTTTATAACAAAACTGATGTTTTATAACGCCCTTGAATGACCATAGCTGTCGGTAAGACGTTAAACCCTGTATAACCAACCAACTAATGTTTAATATTTATTCATTTACTTTTAGATGCATGTCCACTTAATGAACCTACACAATAACATTTTCGCTCATACTGGAAGAGGACTTGGTGAATATGTATTTGAAGTTAAAACAACTGCTGCTCAATATATTCATATTCTTAAAAAAAGTGTTTAAATATTCGTAATATTTTCGGTATTAGAGTGCGTCCATCTGTCAGTGGAAACGATCTTACTGGAACCGCCTAACCTAACAAATGACGACAAATGAGGGGGTAAAAGACTCGGAACCCACTGTTTATGGTGTAATGAATTCCAGTTCTGCTGAAAGAGTTTTTATAGTGGGTTGCAGTGCAAATGTAAATACAGCAGTGTATATTAACAAAGTGTCACGTTATTTTGTTGTGACGTCATTTTATATTTGCTAGTGTGACTCTTCAAATAAAATAAAGAGTAACTCTGGTTTTATTACGTTGGTGATGTAACGAAGCTTTTCATTGGTTAATGACCATCTATTATGAGACAATTCTAAATTTTAACCAAGACGCTCACCCATACGCCTCCCTCGAATACCAAGCGTAAACAAGTGAGACCTGCATGACTTGTCTTGGACAAATTAACCTTGTCTAGTCAGGTTAATGACTTAATATTTATTTATACAGGAATGTGTATATGTTATTATTTCTAATTAGATCCACGTTTAACAAGCAAGACATGACAATTGACCTTAGACACCAACATTATGAAACAACAAATAAGCTGTTCACGGCTTTTTAGTGAAATAAAAACGAGGCATTAAGTGCGCAAAATAACAGCCTTATTAAAAATATTAGAGGTCACGTTACATAAAAGACACTGAAGTAGACAAGGAGGCACACTCAGTTCCCTTTTTTTTAATGTTTGAAAAAAATCCAGTCAGGCTGAAGCTGTTTTCATTAAATACAGTTATAACGTTTTCACTCTATACTTCACCATAATTTACCCGCATTCAATTGACTTTTTCTCAAATAAATCACTCAGTTGGGTACATAATTTTCATTTGTCTCAGAAAGAGTTCATATAATTATAGCAATACGTTAGGTGTCCTACTGTTAAGGAGTGACGTACATAATATATAAGTGGACTTAATAATGTGACATAATGTCTAAGAATGACGTACATATACTAGAGGACTACGTTATGTGACCTAATGTCTACGATAGACGTACATATACTAGAGGACTACGTTATGTGTTCATATGTCTAAGAGTAACGTACATATACTAGAGGACTGCGTTATGTGACCTAATGTCTAACAGTAACGTACATATACTAGAGGACTACGTTATGTGACCTTATGTCTAAGAGTGACGTACATATACTAGAGGACTACGTTATGTGACCTTATGTCTAAGAGTGACGTACATATACTAGAGGACTACGTTATGTGACCTAATGTCTAAGAGTGACGTACATATACTAGAGGACTACGTTATGTGACCTAATGTCTAAGAGTGACGTACATATACTAGAGGACTACGTTATGTGACCTAATGTCTAAGAGTGACGTACATATACTAGAGGACTACGTTATGTGACCTAATGTCTAAGAGTGACGTACATATACTAGAGGACTACGTTATGTGACCTAATGTCTAAGAGTGACGTACATATACTAGAGGACTACGTTATGTGACCTAATGTCTAAGAGTGACGTACATATACTAGAGGACTACGTTATGTGACCTAATGTCTAAGAGTGACGTACATATACTAGAGGACTACGTTATGTGACCTAATGTCTAAGAGTGACGTACATATACTAGAGGACTACGTTATGTGACCTAATGTCTAAGAGTGACGTACATATACTAGAGGACTACGTTATGTGACCTAATGTCTAAGAGTGACGTACATATACTAGAGGACTACGTTATGTGACCTAATGTCTAAGAGTGACGTACATATACTAGAGGACTACGTTATGTGACCTAATGTCTAAGAGTGACGTACATATACTAGAGGACTACGTTATGTGACCTAATGTCTAAGAGTGACGTACATATACTAGAGGACTACGTTATGTGACCTAATGTCTAAGAGTGACGTACATATACTAGAGGACTACGTTATGTGACCTAATGTCTAAGAGTGACGTACATATACTAGAGGACTACGTTATGTGACCTAATGTCTAAGAGTGACGTACATATACTAGAGGACTACGTTATGTGACCTAATGTCTAAGAGTGACGTACATATACTAGAGGACTACGTTATGTGACCTAATGTCTAAGAGTGACGTACATATACTAGAGGACTACGTTATGTGACCTAATGTCTAAGAGTGACGTACATATACTAGAGGACTACGTTATGTGACCTAATGTCTAAGAGTGACGTACATATACTAGAGGACTACGTTATGTGACCTAATGTCTAAGAGTGACGTACATATACTAGAGGACTACGTTATGTGACCTAATGTCTAAGAGTGACGTACATATACTAGAGGACTACGTTATGTGACCTAATGTCTAAGAGTGACGTACATATACTAGAGGACTACGTTATGTGACCTAATGTCTAAGAGTGACGTACATATACTAGAGGACTACGTTATGTGACCTAATGTCTAAGAGTGACGTACATATACTAGAGGACTACGTTATGTGACCTAATGTCTAAGAGTGACGTACATATACTAGAGGACTACGTTATGTGACCTAATGTCTAAGAGTGACGTACATATACTAGAGGACTACGTTATGTGACCTAATGTCTAAGAGTGACGTACATATACTAGAGGACTACGTTATGTGACCTAATGTCTAAGAGTGACGTACATATACTAGAGGACTACGTTATGTGACCTAATGTCTAAGAGTGACGTACATATACTAGAGGACTACGTTATGTGACCTAATGTCTAAGAGTGACGTACATATACTAGAGGACTACGTTATGTGACCTAATGTCTAAGAGTGACGTACATATACTAGAGGACTACGTTATGTGACCTAATGTCTAAGAGTGACGTACATATACTAGAGGACTACGTTATGTGACCTAATGTCTAAGAGTGACGTACATATACTAGAGGACTACGTTATGTGACCTAATGTCTAAGAGTGACGTACATATACTAGAGGACTACGTTATGTGACCTAATGTCTAAGAGTGACGTACATATACTAGAGGACTACGTTATGTGACCTAATGTCTAAGAGTGACGTACATATACTAGAGGACTACGTTATGTGACCTAATGTCTAAGAGTGACGTACATATACTAGAGGACTACGTTATGTGACCTAATGTCTAAGAGTGACGTACATATACTAGAGGACTACGTTATGTGACCTAATGTCTAAGAGTGACGTACATATACTAGAGGACTACGTTATGTGACCTAATGTCTAAGAGTGACGTACATATACTAGAGGACTACGTTATGTGACCTAATGTCTAAGAGTGACGTACATATACTAGAGGACTACGTTATGTGACCTAATGTCTAAGAGTGACGTACATATACTAGAGGACTACGTTATGTGACCTAATGTCTAAGAGTGACGTACATATACTAGAGGACTACGTTATGTGACCTAATGTCTAAGAGTGACGTACATATACTAGAGGACTACGTTATGTGACCTAATGTCTAAGAGTGACGTACATATACTAGAGGACTACGTTATGTGACCTAATGTCTAAGAGTGACGTACATATACTAGAGGACTACGTTATGTGACCTAATGTCTAAGAGTGACGTACATATACTAGAGGACTACGTTATGTGACCTAATGTCTAAGAGTGACGTACATATACTAGAGGACTACGTTATGTGACCTAATGTCTAAGAGTGACGTACATATACTAGAGGACTACGTTATGTGACCTAATGTCTAAGAGTGACGTACATATACTAGAGGACTACGTTATGTGACCTAATGTCTAAGAGTGACGTACATATACTAGAGGACTACGTTATGTGACCTAATGTCTAAGAGTGACGTACATATACTAGAGGACTACGTTATGTGACCTAATGTCTAAGAGTGACGTACATATACTAGAGGACTACGTTATGTGACCTAATGTCTAAGAGTGACGTACATATACTAGAGGACTACGTTATGTGACCTAATGTCTAAGAGTGACGTACATATACTAGAGGACTACGTTATGTGACCTAATGTCTAAGAGTAACGTACATATACTAGAGGACTACGTTATGTGACCTAATGTCAACAATAGACGTACCTAGACTAGAGGACTACGTTATGTGACCTAATGTCTAAGAGTGACGTACATATACTAGAGTACTACGTTATGTGACATAATGTCTAAGAGTGACGTACATATACTAGAGGACTACGTTATGTGACCTAATGTCTAAGTGTGACGTACATATACTAGAGGACTACGTTATGTGACTTAATGTCTATGGGTGACGTACATATATTAAAGGACTACGTTATGTGACCCAATGTCTAAGATTGACATACATATATTAAAGGACTACATTATGTGACTTAGTTTCAGACAGTGATTATAAAACATTATTTTAAAGACGTCGTTTGAATGTTCTAGTGTTATAAACAACATATACTAGACGACCTACGTCTCGTACAGTGTCAATGAGTACAAATATCTGAATATAATCCACATCTATCGTCACGAAATAGTTTTTACGTTTCATTTACTCATAAACACCACCTGTTTATATCTGCAAGTTAACTCCGTCTACAGAAAACCTGTTAAATGCACTTAAATCTACAGTTGACCGACTTTAAATTCCAGTTTTCTGCATTTTTTAATGAACTGTAATTTTTCTACATACTTTTGAAATCGACACATGTTTATAAATCAGGCGCGTGGTTTGACTATAAACTATGTGCATGCTAAATTTATCATCCAGTCATTATCAGAACAAATAGAAGCTGAATCGTCACTGATGTGACAGAAAATTAGTTGTATACAAAAAGGACTTGTCATTGTTGATCAGCATGCGCAACATGCCCGTGGCGAGAATGTTTTGTAAAGCTGGTAAATTCAAAAAGTTCATTTGGGGATTTTTGATGTGCATGCGGCTGCTTGTTTGCTTACAGGGTAGTTACGCACCTGTAATTTACGTTTAAGTTGATTGTCCACTCTATAGGAACCTACCATTTTCGTAAACAACATTCATACAACTGATTAAAAACAATGCATCATGTTGTTCGGTTGTGACGTTATTTAATGTTTGTCAATGTGACTGAGATTGTCCGTTTCGAATAAAGCACTTACCAACAGTATTTAGCTTGAATAAAACGCCCAAGAGACTTATAGACCACGACTGTTATAAGGCTGTTACGTCAATATAACTTTACTCACGATACACAATAAAAAACCAGGAAAATGGTTTGACTAGATAGCTGATAGCATTTTTTGGTAAGAATGTTGATATACGGGAAAAGTTTATTTAATCAAAAGCAATTTATACCGTACACACGAATGGCATTTAAAAATACAGTTGAATTTCTATATGAATGAATTACGTTTTTCGAACTATGTTGGCGTTTTGAGTATTATGTCTCAATTATTTCTTTTTATCGTTATTTCTCTTAGTCTTTTTTCGCTTCTCGTTTGTTATATTGCATCAATAAAAAAAATTAAAAAAATCTATTCTATGGAACAACAATCGAAATAAAGACACAATAATAATTATCATTAGTTCGTCTTTATGAATTGCACTATTATTTTTTTCTTTGTTGCGCACCGGAATATAACCTTTTCGCTTGAAGTTTTCGCTTCACCAGAGAAAGACAAATGACGTGCAAAAAAAGACAAAATAACGATAATTAAGGATGTACTCTTCTGAGGTTTAAATCACGTTCAAGTCTCGTTTTGATCTGGTGTAACGGGTTTTTGTAATATTTAACAAATTATGATAAAGTTTAAAGTTTAATAGCAAACAAGCATCTGAAAAATGTGTCAAAAAACTAGATGCCTGTTTTTTGTAAAAAAAAAATACAAGAATTTAAAAAAATAACTAATTCGGCGGCCATTTTTAAAATGTGTATTAATGTGTATTTCTTGCACTTCACATAAGGCCAACATTTCACCTTTTTTGACACTAGATTGATCACCTAAATTGTCATTGTGTCATCATTTTTAATTGTAGCAGGTTCAATTTTGCTGTACAACTTTATAATGTTCATATGATAAAAACAATATGCAACAAAGTGGAAAATTATACATTATTGGTATTTTTTTAACATATTTAGTGTAACTGAAGCACTTTTGATTTTTTACCCCGAAAAATGGTGAAAAAATGAGTATCTTTTCATTAAAAAATAAGGGGTAGGGGCAACTTAAATCGCATTCCTGAGTTAAAAGATCAAAATTAAGAAATTTTACTAACGTAATTTAAAAGAAGATAATATTTTTTATCAATTCTACAAACATTCATACATATCTGATAACATACTTGGAAGAAATTGTATGAATTTGTTCTGCAAATGGTTAAAATAAAAAAATCACCTAAAATCACATATTGTGTCAGATTGGTATCTTTGACCGATCATAGCACAAAAACGAACACACGGACACACGTTTTCCAAAAATCCATATAAGAAAAAAAGTTTAATACAGGAAATTTTTGACTTCTCAGAGGTGTACATCCTTAAATAATGACAAAGAAAATAGATCAGGCGCAAACTCTTTCACCTACGACGTTAGCACGTTACTTGTTTAACATTCAATTTATAGGAAAAAAAACTATAGAACGTTACGTTAACTGCTGTATATGAGGTAATGAGTTTGGGTTAAGGTTATCAGGTAAAACGGGGGGAACATTTTGATAGTTTAATTGAAATCGTTTATCCATTAAAAAACCGAAAAGACGAAATAACGCCGAGCTTAAGGATGAACTAACGCCAAGAGAAGGTAGGATAATTACCGTACAGAGATACAGGTGTGACCGGGTCACCTATGTGTGCCAATAGAACACCGTGGTGTTACACTTGGCAGCGACAACGCCAAAATCTTGGCTGCTAAACCTCCATTTATTAGAGTAGGGACGCGCAGAGGAATCTCACTTCAGAAAGCTTGGTTAAATCAGGCCAACATTACGGTTCACGCTTCCAGATATTTTACTAAGTGTTTTATCATCAATAATTGAATTTTTGAAATGAGTGACCAATTATCACAGGTCGTTATCCCACGCTATTCATTATGTTAATGTAATCTATGGACGGGTCACGGTATCTCGAAACTTCTGAACTAGGAAATCATTCTTAAAGTTCAGCTCTCCTCTAGGACAAGATACAAAATATAAACTACAAGAAAGTTCATTTTGAGTCGCATACATGTGTACAAGAAACTTTAGCTCTCATGAGTTATTATTGCAACGTTGCAATATTTGAACATCCTTTCATTAACTTTTTTTTTCAAATATCAATTTTAATTCCCCATCAAATGTAATAGAAGGCTGTCGGGGTTGGGGAGCACCGGAGTCAGCTTCTTAACAATGTAACGTGTCAGCCCTCTCCGTATCAGCCCGCAAAACTCTTATCACAACCCTTTTGGAACACTTCTAATTTTCCTATCTACCACCAACAACGTCATCCTGAACCCTAATGAAATTTTTCGTTTTTCAAAGTTTCAAAAGAAAAATAGATCATAAGATAGAAGATCTTTCCGTATCTAATAAAAAAAAGTATGCAATAAACAGAATAAAACATGCCTTTTTCCGTATCGGGTTGATACTGGGTGTGATATGGAAAAAGGTATGTATTATTCTCTATATACCGAAGCATCAATAAAACCGTATTTCGATCTTAAAATTGACAAAACTAGGGCAAATATAAAAAAAAACAAAAAACATTACTATTCATACTCTTGAAAAGTGAAAGGAGAGTAAGATAATGTGTCCCGGAAGGGAAATGTCTTCTTCTTCAACGGCGACACCCGCCATGAGAATCTAGGTCAAATCCAAGTAATGCTACGTGCTTAAAACCAGAATTGGGATAGTGAAACAGACAGTTAGGCATACAGAAAATAAACATCATAAAAAACGTCGACCTTCATACAATGTATCATTCAAAGACATACGCTATCAATGGTCTTCATCAATCTGCATCTTAGGAAGCCAAGTTGTGTTAGTTCGTCTGTCAGCAGTCGACATCTATCTCAGAAATCATAATATTGAGAACAAGCTCTTGAATACGAACGGATGTTACTATAAAGAATGGGAAAGTTCACGATTGGAAATCGAAATCATACCTTGACTATGACATCAGCCACCTTTGGCCATTTCCAGCGAAAGAACATCCCGACGGCGGCCGGGGTGATGGTCATGACGAAGGAGATAGCGATGTTGACGTAGGGGATGACCAGAGCCTCGTCAGTCCAGCTCCGACTGTAGATAAACAGATTCAGCGGCATCATCCCCATCGCCATGACAGTTGACGTTGCCGTCATCGCTACACTGGTAGAAAAGACCAAATGCTTACACAAATGGGAAATAACACGACCACAATACAACGTTGATGTTTCATGTGGTTTCAATATTTTATGTTACATTACAAGTGCTTTATGCGTTGACTTTTTCCTCTACCTCTCAAAAGTACGTTTGCGCTATTTACTTGTCCTACAAATGATAGGACGTTTGCGTCATCAACTTCACATGATGGGACATTTGCGTCATGTACTATACATAACGGGTTGTTGCGTCACCATCTTCACATGACGGGACTTTATATGTTATGTTACAATATGTTCGTGTTGCATGTATTATTTTTAACCTTAATAAATAGGTATATCATATGATGTTACCTGAGTGGGACGTCACCATCCATCCAATAGGAGAACACATTTGACGTTGAACCTCCAGGACACGAACCAATCACCAGCATTCCAAGCGCGGGATATGTAGACATCTGCAGCGCATGCGCAAGACCAAACGTGACCGCCGGAAGTACGATGAACTGAGAGAGCATGCCGATGGCGATACCAACCGGTCTCCTGAGGTGCTGGAGAAGAGGTTTGATCTCTATTGTGCTGCCCATGCCTGCCATGATGATGATAAGCGTGGTTTTTATTACGACATCAGAAGCAATCTTTAAGGCCGACGGTGAAGGTGGTACCATTGTCAGGTTAGCGGACGAGTTTGGGGACGGAGTTGTCAACTCGTAATAGCCGAACAAAAGGTCTAGCCCGGGAGTGGTCATGTCCAAAATGTAGGATATCACAGCTAAAGAATGAATGGAAAAGGGATAAGTAAGTACCAGTCCAAATTTTCATTGATCAAGTATCAGATTAAAGTCACAAAGCTCTGACGGTATCTTTGAGGGGATAAGGCGGGAAAAAAATATGCGTGTTTCGGGTTTTCCGACCGACCTTTTTTTTTTGCTACTGACCCTTTTTTTCCCAAGATGTTTTTTTGATTTCTAGAAAAAAAGGGGGAAAACGCTGCCCTTGCCCGTATTTCAATTAAGTCACTAGTAAATCTAGATCTAATAAAAGCGCGCTCCTGATCCTGACTTTAATTTGGCTTCGGATGTATTGGCTTTTATGGTTTTAATGGGGAGATATGCGTTATAATTTTGACATGGTATGATTTTCTCAGGTGGCTTGTAGTTGTGATTACTGACTCGTTCTGTTTGCACTGCTTTTTGTGTGAGCTTAAATTTAACAAAAACAAGTCGTTAAGTTGGTTGCTATGAAACTCAAAAGTAACTGGGATGTAAGTTCAGTTTTGTTACTATGATTGGTGTAAAACACTTTATATTTGTGAAGTTGTCAACTTATATGAAGTGCATATCTTGTGTCTGATTCTACTTCTCCGTAAATACTTAATGTTGAAATTCAGATAAAAAAAAAAAGGAGAGACAAAAACCAGGTTTGTGCTTTTGTTTATTTCCATGTTGATGGAAAAAAACCTCCACAGCAATGGAATACCATAGTATCAACAGACAAGACACGATGAATGGAACATCAAAAGTGGACATCAGACAAGACGATAAATAGTTAGACAACAAAAACGGAAAACATAATATCTGAAAAATGCTAAGAATAACATGGTACTCCCAGCTTCCAGGATGTTCCCACCCCAACATACTGGAAAGTGACGACTTCATGTTTTATAGACCTGTATTAAATAGACCAATTAACAAACATGCATTAATTGATATTAAAACTCCACGGGAGATGTCCGTTGTAACATACAACATCCACACTTAGGATATCTGATTATCACACAAAGACCTGAAATTGAGGAACAAACAGAGAAGACTTTTTTTTTTCAAAAATCAAACAGCAAAGATGTTTCCTAAAAGTTCTGATAAGCATCTCACAATAGTATAATAGTACACACATGCGACACTAAGCCATTCACTAATCTAGCAAAAAAAAAAAAAAAAAAAAAAAAAAAAAATAATCCCTAACTACCGACCCTAATTTTTTTCAGGCAGAAACAGAAAACACACATATATTTTATTTTCGCCTAACAAATGCGAAGCCTTCTGATGTTTGTGATAAATGTTGTATGAGACTGGTTACAGGTTCATATAGCACAGCCAGCGATATGTTTATATGTAACACTTCTATAACTTGTACGACTCTTGTCACCTTCATCATACTCTGTTGTCGTTCAGTCATCAAAGCCTCACAGCGAAAAATTGTGAACGTGTTTTCGTGAACAATGAAGCTTATCGCCATTCCGAGTCCACGATAAGGAGTAGTTGATAAGGGACCTGGTAATAATAAATCCAGTTACACCACTTTATAATCCAAACAAGGACTGAGAACAACCACGTGTGACATGGAGAAGTGAGATTTTATATATGGCTCCAACGCATTGGAGTCAGTACAACTATATAGAGACGGGTCATTTGTATGCATCAAAATTTTACTTTTCTCCACATGTACATCTGCTACCAACAATGACATTTCTCGAAAATCTAAAAACGGCAGTTTACGCTCGCCAGATATAAATTTTCAACCATTAAATGTCATCGTGATTAAACATTGAACATATTATTATGGCAGTTAAGAATTTCTGTCTGTAAGTTAAACTAAGATCGTTTAATCCAGTATAAATGATAGCCCTACCTGTGTATGCGGTTCCCCTGTTGAAGATTTTGATAGCTTTTCTCCACTGTCCTCTTTATACTAACCAGAAGACAACTCTCCATTTTTCACACCGACTAGGCACTTTTTCGCTCAATTCTCTCTTTTAATGGGTTTCCTTCATGAGACGGTAATATGAATATAAATATTGTAGATATGGTTCAGAATTACATTAGAGACACAGGTGTTGTTATTTGACTGTCTCAACTGACTCCGACATAGGTCATCTAAGGACCCTGTAAATAACGATCATGGTAAGCGCTTACTTGACCTATGTAAGCACAGTAATACAGTTATACTCAATGGCCGCATGGGTGAGGTAAAGGTATCGGCAAACGGACATGTACAAGTATAAGTGTAATTGATTACTGCATAGGTAACATTGACACACTTGGTATTGTGGACGAATTTTCTATTAATGTATGCTCATCCTTGTCATATATGTCTACATTTGTGTGATAATAATAACATGTATGATCGTTTGAATACTGGGGTTACTTACAATACAAGCATAACCAGAAAGTGGAATGATGACCTCAAATGTGCTTCTGGAGAAATGAAATGTTTACTTCCCCGAAAGGAATCAATTATAGAATCAATAAATACGAACTTTGTTTAGAAAAGTACTTACTTAAACTCCCTCCGAAACTAGCCAAAGCGTATTGTAAATTCAGAACATGTAATACTAAGTTACCAATTGAAAGTGGTAGGCGGTCCAATATCAACAACAAACAATACTCAATAGTAGACGAAAAATGTCCAAAATATTATTATGAAAGACCAAACACATTTGAATGTCATACATTATTCAATTATGTAACACAACATGACTTGATATCATTGGCTGAATTCATTACCGATATTAATGATATAATTAGTTTACAATACCAATGTCCATCCTGTTCCACCATGTAATATTGTCACCCATTTGTGTCACTGGCACATGTCCTGTGCCGCTTTCGTTTACCGCGATCCAAACGGTTGAACCAGTTGGACCAGAGTTGTTCATTTATCAAATAAAGTCTGACCTAGTAATCAGATGCTGCTTCCAGGCGAGCCTTGACAAAGCCTTGCAAGGCCTGCATAAACATTTGCAGGTCCGCCAGGATTTTTACCCAAAATATTTACATTTACAAACGAACAAGCCCCTGTTCTGCCGGTCAATCTGGAATGATCCCAGCACAAAACAGTGGAAGTTATTGGACAGTTGGTCTGTTTTGGCCTAGTACATGTCTGACCAGCACACTGAGCTAACGACAAACAGGCAAACAGGCAAACAATGTTATACTTAAATGTACAAATATTGTTAAAAATGATGTAAAAATACTGTTAAATATTATAAGGTGAGGGCTTGCATATGCTATGAATATTACCTAATCTGACTAAAAATATGTACGATATAACATATATACTGGAACAAAGAAAAATGTAAGATTGTTGACATACATGCATACTATTTTAAATTATAGACGTCATACATGTACAATACCTATATTTTACGTCACAATGTACAATAATTATCAATAACATATAATATGTGTAAAATGCGTCAAACCTGTATAAAATGTCCGCAGTCTTCTCCATCACCGCAGTAATTTGAACAAATGGCGTGTTTTCGTGAACAATGAAGCTTATCGCCATTCCGAGTCCACGATAAGGAGTAGTTGATAAGGGATCTGGTAATAATAAATCCTGTTACACCACTTTATAATCCAAACAAGGACTTAGAACAACCACGTGTGACATAAAACTTATTTACATTTCCCGTGCATGGCATCAATATATTATGAACCTTAAAATGGAAGTAGCGTTCATGGTAGCATGAAAACATGATATTTACATGTTGTATGGTTGTGCCACTACTTTGTATTTTGTTGATGTCATGGTTCCGATCTGGTACATAGTGAATACCTGTAGTTTTGAATAGAATACTAAGCTTTTTTAATGATGTGGAATTCTGTTACAGAATCTGAAATCCTTGACTGCGATACGCGATCTCACTCAGTTAAAGGTGATAATGTTTATTATTCATGATCAACATGTTGCACTGTCATGATGTTCTCGGTCAACGTAAATACATTATTAACAAACTGCAGATGGTAACTCAATAATATTGTACTAAGACACTAAGTATTGCATATATAACTCGATACCATCGTACTAAAACACTTAGTTTTGTGTGTATAACTCGACACCATCGTATTAAAACACTTAGTATTGTGTGTATAACCCGATACCATCGTGACAAAATGTCATGATGTTCTCGGTCAACGTAAATACATTATATTAAAACACTTAGTTTTGTGTGTATAACTCGATACCATCGTAATAAAACACTTAGTAGTGTGTGTATACCTCGATGCCATCGTATTAAAACACTTAGTTTTGTGTGTATAACTT